TTCTTCAAGAACTCAATGATGGCATGTTGCTTCTGCTTGGAATCCATTATTTGCCTGTCTACGGAGATGACACCATAGACAAGAGTCTCCAATGATAAGACATTGCTCCTGCCAATGGCGTCATCTCCATAAACATTCTGTAGCCTTCTGTGAATGTGGGACAGCCTGCACCCCTCCTTTGCCAATAATTCAATGCTTTGCTTGTAATCTATTATTTACAAGAGTTGTACTACAAGTAATGCAAACGTGAGCATACCTTTTTTATTAACCTGAATAGGTTGCTCAAATTCCACAAATTGGTAGAGTAATTTTTCACTATAGTATCTCTTTTTCTTCTTTTTTATTGTAGGTAAATAATGGATTCCACACAGAAGCAACATGCCATTATTGAGTTCTTGATGAAGGAGGGGGTGCATGCTGTCTGACATCCACAGAAGGCTACAGAATGTTTCCAGAGATGAAACCCTTGACAAGAACAATGTGCACAGATAGATTAAGAAGTTTAAAGAAGGGGAAACTAGAGTTAAAGACAAATCATGCAGTAGGTGAACAGCAGTTTTGGACAACCTGCACCCTTCCTTCTTCAAGAACTCAATGATGTCTCACTGCTTCTGATAGGCATCCACCATTTGCCTGCAAAGAAAACCGAAAAGAATTACTTTAGAGGAATAGTTACTCTGCCAAATCATTAAATTTGAACAACCTATGAAAGTTAATTAAAAATCTATGCCCACGTTTGCATTACTTTCGGCATAGTCCTTGTACATACATACAAAGAGACCCTCTCTAGTCTCCTGGCCATTCATTTCAGCAAAAATTTTCCAATAATATTATATGTGCACTTAACATATTCTATGCATGTTATTTACCTATAAAAGCCTCACTTGTGTAGACTTCCAGAAGACCAGAACCAGCTGCAAGGCGCTGCCATTGGATTTCATATTAGAAGCCCTACCAACTCATAGTTGTCTTTCAAGTGACCCTCTATAGCAACCACTCTCAACCAGGGTTCCTCTAGAGTAGACTTTCTTATACTTTTTAAAACACCCTGAAATAACTTTCCAGTCCCAGAGAACCCTTGTCAATAATTACTAAATCTACAGGTCCTGGTACATAAATGTGACGGTCGCTGGCAGTACAGCTCCTTACACTTGGGAAGAACTCCCAACCCCATTTACAAATAGCTAAAAAGACATTTGGGGGTTTATTTACTAAAGCTGGAGAATGCAAAATCAGACTCACTTCTGCATAGAAACCAATCAGCTTCCAGGTTTCATTGCCAAAGCTTCATTGAACAAGCTGAGGTTAGAAGCTGATTGGTTTCTATGCAGAAGGGAGTCTGATTTTGGACTCTCCAGCTTTAGTAAATAACCCCCTTGGTGTCTGTGGTTGAGTATCTGAGAGGCAGAAATTGCTCATTACTCAAGGAACCCCTAGAAACCTCTGGGGGGACCCTAGCTGAAAAAGGCTTCTCTAGAGGTTGTTAGTGGTTCCTTGAGCTGAGGGTGTTTGACCTCCTATTTGATGGTGTCAGCATTATTTTGAGACAAAAGCCACTTGGCTTTTCTTTTTTTTTTTAATGGAAGGAAAAAAAAAAAGATGAAAAACAGATGTAAACTGATGAAAAACTGATGTGAGCTGATCTGTTTTTTCTTGGAAAAAACTTGAAAAAAACAGAACACCTGTGTGAACACATTGTTCTACAGAAAACGGACTCAAAAATCATGTTTCAGATTACGGTAAACCTGGAACTGACGAGACACCTGGAAAATGTTACTACTATTTTTCAGTTTTTTTGTTTATTTTTTTATGCAATGAAAATCTCATCGCATTCTCGGTGGTGGAGGGACAGGAATTCTGTTGAGAAATTAATTTCTAGACCTGTACAGGAGGATAATAACTGTTTCCTGGGCATGGAGCCTAATTGATCATGATACTCCGCGCAAGCAGAATTTTATATGGGCGGCATATGTTCCCTCACTTACAAAGAAACTGTCATCATCTGCGTTCCCATCGTGAATTGGGAGGCTGTGACCTTTAATCAAAACCTTCTCTAATGTAAAAAACTTTTTTTTTAATTTTGTTAGTTTGTTGTATTGATTTATTAGAAACTAAAATATCAACATACTGGCTACATCTGTGATTTTAATTGGATGCGGTCTGTTGTAGGCTTTTATTTATTTTGTACTTTTATAGAGTGCAAATATATTCTGAATTACTTTACAGAGGACGCTGCCCTGAAAGGAGCTAATTTCCTTGGCACAAGCTGAAGGTTAAACAACTTTGGTCTAATAAAAAAAAAAAAAACTGTTCAATAGTTTCTAATCACAAAGCTTTTTTTTTTAGATCTCAAAATGTAACTTATTAGCAATTATGTATTTGTTTCTGGAACTGAAATAATTTGTTTTCTGAGCTTAAAGCGAGGTAATTTTTTTTTGTATAATAATAATAACAAACCTGTCTATACTTACCTGCTTTTGCACAGAGTAGCTCGGATCTTCCTCTTCTCGGGTCCCCTGCAGGCTCTCCTTGCCCCTCCCTCTTGTCGGGTGTCTCCACAGCAAGCAGCTTGCTATGGGGGCACCCGCAACTCTGTGTGTCCATTCACACAGAGCTGTGGCTTAGCCCTGCGCCCTCTCTCTACTTAGTGGCTGACTGACTGTATTTAACAGAGTGGGAGCCAATGGCTCCTGCTTGCTGTGTTAGCCAATGAGGAGGCAGAGACCCAGGACAGCCGAAGCTGTCATGCCCAGGGGCGGACTGACCATTTGGAAACTCGGGCACTGCCTGAGGGCCCGGGGCCAGTAGGGGGCCCCATGAGATGCCCCTGGTACCTTTTTCATAGGCTTTTTTGAGTATGGGCAAGGACACAGGGGCCCCATGATCCCCTATTGCCCGGGGGCCCCATGAGTTGTCAGTCCGCCCCTGGTCATGCACATTGCTGGATCTCGATGAGGCTCAGGTAAGCATTGAGGAGGCTGGGGGCACTGCTGCACACAGAAGGTTTTGTACCTTCATGCATAGAATGCATGAAGGTAAAAAAACCTTCAGCCTTTATTTATTTCAGGTACTTATATAGCGCCGTCAATTTACGCAGCACTTTACATATATATTGTACATTCACATCAGTCCCTAACCCTCAAGTGGTGTACAATCTAAGGTCCCTAACTCCCATTCATACATACACATACTAGGGCCAATTTCAGACAGGAGCCAATTCACCTAGCAGCATGTCTTTGGAATGTGGGAGGAAACCGGAATACCCAGAGGAAACCCGCACAGGGCGTTAAATACTGTAGTGTTGTCCTATGCACACTACTTTAGGCTATTAGCAGTTTTTTTAGTTTCAGCGTCTAGGAACAGAAAAAAATTGTTTTTGTAGAGTTTTTTGGAACATTTTTCCAGCAAGAAAAAGAAACCCTACAAAGGCTCCATGTACACTAGTGTGTTTTTTTTTTTCAAAGCTCAAAAAGCGCTGTATAAAGAACGCTGGTGATAATGTTTTTTAGTAGCATTTAGAAGTGTTGAAGAGCATTAGTAATGTAGTGCCCTCCTAGTTAGCTAGGGGGAGCTAGTTGATCCTTTTTCTTAGTTTGGAAGCTAAATAGCAGCCAGGAGAAATAGCCAGAGGGGTCAAAATTGGGTCAGGGCTGAGAGGCTCTGCAGATCAGCCTACTGATAGCAACCCCTGATCTAGTGACTTGGAGAAGTCTCTAGAACTCAGTGGGTGAGGATGAGGAGGAGGAGCTGGTCTGCACTATTAGGGGATCCTGGCCAATCCCCAAGCAGGAGGCTTGTCATGGGGTCTGGACAGTCATTAAGAGTGACTGAGCCTGCTCAGTAGCAGGAGAGTTCGGGTGGAAGATGGAGTGATCAGGATGGAGTGTGGAGCCTGGGAGGGGGTCCAGGAGAGGGGTCTACCTACAGGCAGAGGAGCTGGAAGTAAGGATCTCTCAGCCTCACTGTCCCCCGAGAGAAGACAGCCTGGGAAGCAGGGAAGGAGCCAGCATAAGGTCTGAAGCACCCACCAACCCACATGCTTGCAGGAGAAGACTGAGGGAGTAATAAAACACCCCTGGGTCAGATAAGTGGAGAGGGCATTCTGGTGGGAAACCTGACTAGCCCCTATCTGGGACTGCTGACCATAAAATTGCAGCTTCTGGGTCCCCTTGCCCAGGGATTTCTTCAGGCAGCTGAATGTAGAGAAGATTTCATCTGGGGTTTGAGGTGGTACACCCAGAGAGGCTGGAGAGCTCTCCAAAAGAAGAGAAAACCCTTCTAAACATTTGTACATAGTTCCAAGAAGTTGTCCTCAGTTTAACAGGCCCTTGGACATCCCATGTATCCCTCAAAAAACAAGTTAAAGGACTGTTTACTGACTTGAGTGCAAGGTTGGAAGAAAATGTGTGAAAATGTGTGCAGGACTATCAGGGAACCCATATCTTCAGCAACTCCTAAGGAGGTAGGGCTACAGAATGTTGAAGTCAATTGCTCAGAATATATTGAAGTCAGGTGACTAGCTTTTTTTTTTTTTCAAAAGATGTTCAGAAATATCAGCAGCCACACATATTTCTCCATTTACTTTAAAAAGAATTCAAGCTGTTAGCAAATGTCATCTCAAACACCTTCACCTATGCTAAATTCTATGCATTCTTGTAGCATTTTATTATATGTGAGCTATATTGATTTACTATTTCTATATGCTGTAGTTCTTTTCAAACTATTAGCCCACGCAAAGTGCTTGATCATTTTATCAGATATCTTATTGTATGAAATAATCATTGAGTCATACTGCAAGCTATAAATTCCACTTATGCCATTATAACATGTCACCATCCAGTCACTGTGATCAAATCACTTTTTAGTTGGGTTTTTTTTTTTTTTTCATTTTATGGAACAGTGCGCACACTGTAGACCTTCAAATACCAGGGAAAAAAATCTGCTGGTATTGTTTGAACATGTGTTGTAGAAAAAAAAGGGAAAAAAATTACTTGCATGAGTATCTGGGGAATAACTTATGTACAGGATCGCTTTGTACATACTGTGCTGTATATTTTATTATTATATTATATAGCACCAACAGTTACAAAAAAAGAGGGAAACAGTGCAATAAAATTCAAGACAAGAGGGTTTGGAGGCCCCTGCTTACGAGATCTTGTGGGCGGGGCTTAAGGGGGCTTAAGGAGCCCTAGTGGGCACACTGTGGAACTGCAGTTGCTAATGCCTGAACCTTAGGCAAGAGCTGCGGTCATGTAAAATCAACATTAAGGGCTCATGTACACTGCAACTGATAAACTCACGTTTAGGAGCTGTTCAGCATTTTTTTCAGCAGCTCCTGAACTCTCCCTAATGTTTTCCTATGTGTCCATATACACATCTTCGTTTACAGGAATTTTTTTGAACGCAGAAAACTTGCGTTCAGTAGTCGATTTTATCAGCGTTTCACATGCAAAATGCTTAAAAAACGCGGCAAATCGTGTTTATAAGCGTTTGCGTTTGAAATCATTTTTTAACTCTTCCAGTTCCCGATGCTGTCCAGAGCCTTTTTTCATCATGAAAACTGCATGCAAAGGGTTTTCAAGGTACTCAAATGGACAAAACACTGAACACAAAATGTTCCTACCAAGCTGGTCACACATTATAATGACCAATTCACACCTCAGACCTCTCCCACCCTTGGAAACAAAAGATATGTTAATGACCATTCACACCTCGAATTCCTCAAGAAGACCCCCTGCCAGGTGGCCTTAGTGACTCCCTCCACCAGACACCTTTCCCACCCTTGGAAACAAAAGAAATGTTAATGTGCAACTCACACCTAATTATCTCAACACATACTGCTGTCTCTGCTTCTACTCTCTGTATTTCTCTGAAACAGTCTGAAATAGTTAAGAATTTACCGCTTTTCAGTGCATTCTGGGCATTTGGGAGGATCTCCTGTGCTTATCTTTAAAAAAACCGCTTCTAAACGCAAACGCGCATAAATGCGTTATGCAAACGCGGCTAAACAGACATTTTTTAACCTAGGTTTTCCAGCAGTCAGTTTCCATTGTTCAGAAGTGTCCCGTGTACATGGGGCTTAACACCCGGTCACATCAAAGCCGATTTTGAAATCGTGCGACGTACAGTTGCATGTTTTCAAAATCGGGTGACCTGCTGATTTCATTGTGATTTGTAAGACATCTAAAACAGATGTCTATGCAAATCGCAACAAAAGTAGTGCATGTACTATGTTGGAACTGCATGGATATGATCGCTCTAATAGCGGACCATAGGGTGTGACTTGGCATATGATTTGCAAGTCGCCTGGCAAGCAAATCGCATGCCAAATCGCACCAGTTGTGACCAGGAGCCAAGTCCTCATGCACACGGGATGTTTTTACAGCGGCTGTTTTTGGCTTTTGGCATTTTTTTCTACAGCCAGTAAACTCCCGAGCATGTTATCCTATGTTTCCATGCACACATAGACTGGAATCAGCGTTTTTTGTCAGCGGCGTTTTTTGGCTGGAAAAAAAAAAAAAATACTGATTTTGTAGAGAAGTATTTTAGCTGTAAGGCTCCATGCACACGGGGCATTTTAATAACGCTGGTAAAGTTAGCGGTGTAAAGTCACGATAAAAACGTGAGTTTTTCAGCGTTTTTAGCATCAGCATTTAGCCATGTTTTTTCATGTCTGTGTTTTTTACCATTTTTTTTTTTACCAAAAATGCCAGTTTGCCACGTTTTACCACATTTTGCAACATTAGAGCATTTTTACAGCTAAAAATCTCTTCTAGAAACCCACTTTTTTTTCTCCTGCCAAAAAACGCAAAAAGCAAACTGCATAGGTGTGAACAGGACCTAAAATCAGTCTGTATATGCAGTAAAGCAATGCTTTTTATACTCACTGTGGAACCTAAGGGGTTAATCTTTCACATTGTGTAAAAAGGCTGTTTGATCCTGTCTTCTCTGACCCACCCCTTCTTCTACTGTCCCTAATCTAGTTGCTGATAGAACAGAGCCTTGAGGACAAGCCGCACATGCTCAGTTTAGTGTTTATTGCTAGAGAGTTTTTTCTTTTTTCTTGGGAGATTTCATGTGATCAGCACAGGGCCAATCAGTGCTGTCCAGACAGAAGGTCAGGGGTTATGCAGCTTCATAGGACAATCAGAGGAGAATGAAACCTCCTCCTACAAGCTTTAACCAGTGCTTGGCTGGACACTGATAGAAGTCACAAGACTGCTATATACTGCTGATGAGAAAAGGTATTTAGCAGTTTATATTTACTAAAATAATTGCATTTCCATGTTCTGTGTACTGTGGGAGACCAGATATAGTGAATGCAGGGTCCGGGGAGACCGGATATAGTGAATGCAGGGTCCTGGGAGACCAGATATAGTGAATGCAGGGTCCGGGGAGAGTGGATATAGTGAATGCAGGGTCCGGGGAGAGTGGATATAGTGAATGCAGGGTCCGGGGAGACCGGATATAGTGAATGCAGGGTCCGGGGAGAGCGGATATAGTGGATGCAGGGTCCGGGGAGAGCGGATATAGTGAATGCAGGGTCCGGGGAGAGCGGATATAGTGAATGCAGGGTCTGGGGAGAGCGAATATAGTGGATGCAGGGTCCGGGGAGAGCGGATATAGTGAATGCAGAGTCCAGGGAGACCAGATATAGTGGATGCAGGGTCCGGGGAGACCAGATATAGTGGATGCAGGGTCCGGGGAGACCAGATATAGTGGATGCAGGGTCCGGGGAGACCGGATATAGTAAACGCAGGTTACGGGGAGACCGGATATAGTAAACGCAGGTTACAGGGAGACCGGATATAGTAAACGCAGGTTACAGGGAGACCAGATATAGTGAACGCAGGGTCCGGGGAGACCAGATATAGTGAACGCAGGGTCCGGGGAGACCAGATATAGTGAACGCAGGGTCCTGGGTTTAGTAACACTTTTAACCTTTTTTCTCAGGAACCACCAGATCATCAGGTCACCTTGAGCAAAACTACATTGTAATAATTAGCCATGACACATAAACATAGTTGATCTGATTAACCTCAGAACCTTTTGGATGCACCTGCTTATAAGCCTACAATCTAAAAGAGAGGGCCAGGCGATACAAAAAAACAATAATTATTGGGGGATGTACTGAAGGAGCAAGTAAAAGTTTAGTTGTTAGGTAGAGGTTAGATGGGCTTCCCTGATGAGAAGATCTAGAGTTGGACAGAGCACAAGAGATCTAGACCTATTGGGATAGGGAGTTTCAGAGGAACAGAGAGGCTCTGAAGTCCTGGAGGTGAGCATTTGTGACAAGGAAGCAAGAGAGCTGGAGAACAAGCTATGGGTCCAACCCTTCTGCAAATTTTGTTGCGTGTTTTCTACTCCACACTACTTTACTCTGTACAGTATATTGTATTGTGTTTTTATATACTCCACTCTGTATATTATGATGTACATTATATACTCCATGCTACTCTACTCTGTACATTATGATGCAGGCTATATACTCCACACTGTATATTGTGACATACGTTATATACTCCATACTACTCTACTCTGTACCAGGGGCAGACTGACCATTTGGAAACTCGGGCACTGCCCGAGGGCCCGGGGTCAGTAGGGGGCCCCATGAAATGCCCCTGGTACCTTTTTCATAAGCTTTTTTAAGTTTGGGCAAGGACACAGGGGCCCCATGATCCCCTATTTCCCTGTATATTGTGAAGGGACCCATGATGAGTTTTTCAGTCCGCCCCTGCTCTGTACATTATGATGCATGCTATATACTCCACGCTGTATATTGTGATGTACATTATATACTCCATACTACTCTACTCTGTACATTATGATGCATGCTATATACTCCACGCTGTATATTGTGATATACATTATATACTCCATGATACTCTACTCTGTACACTATGATGCAGGCTATATACTCCACGCTCTATATTGTGATGTACATATACTCGATGCTACTCTACTCTGTACATTATGATGCATGTTATATACTCCACGCTCTATATTGTGATGTACGTTATATACTCCATACTACTCTACTCTGTACATGTTGATTTATATTATATATTTCACACCATTCTACTCTGTACATTGTGATGTATGTAATATACTTCACACTTCTTGATGCTGTACATTGTGACATATGCTATATACTCTACTCAGTACATTGTAATGTGAGTTTTTTTTACTCCATACCACTCTACTCTGTTCATTGTGATGTATAGCAGTGTTTCACAACCTTTTTTCATACATGGCACCCTTTAAAGATATGAACATTCTTGAGGCACCCTTTAAAAATGATGGACAGTCTCAAGGCACCCCGTTCTAGAATGTAAAATACTATTCTAATAGTTTTACCTAATACAATGACACCCACACATGTATGACACCCAATGTTAGAGGGGATTTATTCTTCCAAAGCAAATTACACTTTTACACACTGGTACTGATGTTTCTCTTCTCCCTCAGTTTCTCTCTATCATTTAGCTAAGGTGACCCCATTACTGACAGAGGGGGGCCGGGGAGGGTCAAACATGGATGCCGTGAAGGCAAATTACATCCTCCATATCAACTGATAGTGTCATTGGTTGTTAGGACGCCGGCGGCTAGAAGGTTGTATGGTGTACAATGAAAACTATGACTTTGTGTAACTAAAAGGCAGGCTTGATCCACCTGCTGGCTTGTATACAAGTTTTGGGCAATTTTTATGCATTTTGCCAAGGCACCCCTGAAGAAAATTTTAAAGGCACCCCAGGGTGTCTAGGCATCCTGGTTGAAAAAGGCTGATGTATGGTATATAATGCATACCACTCTACCATGTACATTGTGATGTATGTTATATACTCCACACCACTTCACTCTGCACATTGTGATATATGTTATATACGCCATACCACTCTACTCTGTACATTGGGATGTATGTTATATACTCCATACCACTCTACTCTGTACATTGGGATGTATGTTATATACTCCATACCACTCTACTCTGTACATTGGGATGTATGTTATATACTCCACACCACTTCACTCTGCACATTGTGATATATGTTATATACTCCATACCACTCTACTCTGTACATTGGGATGTATGTTATATACTCCTTACCACTCTACTCTGTACATTGGGATGTATGTTATATACTCCGCACCACTTCACTCTGCACATTGTGATATATGTTATATACTCCTTACCACTCTACTCTGTACATTGGGATGTATGTTATATATTCCATACCACTCTCTACTCTGTACATTGGGATGTAATTTATATACTCAATACCACTCTACTCTGTACATTGGGATGTATGTTATATACTCCACACCACTCTACTCTGTACATTGGGATGTATGTTATATACTCCACACCACTCTACTCTGTACATTGGGATGTATGTTATATACTCCACACCACTCTACTCTGTACATTGGGATGTATGTTATATACTCCATACCACTCTACTCTGTACATTGTGATATATGTTATATACTCCATACCACTCTACTCTGCACATTGTGATATATGTTATATACTCCATACCACTCTACTCTGTACATTGGGATGTATGTTATATACTCCACACCACTTCACTCTGCACATTGTGATATATGTTATATACTCCATACCACTCTACTCTGTACATTGTGATATATGTTATATACTCCATACCACTCTACTCTGTACATTGTGATGTATGTTATATACTCCATACCACTCTACTCTGTACATTGTGATGTATGTTATATACTCCCTACCACTCTACTCTGTAAATTGGGATGTATGTTATATACTCCATACCACTCTACTCTGTACATTGTGATGTATGTTATATACTCCATACCACTCTACTCTGTAAATTGGGATGTATGTTATATACTCCACACCACTTCACTCTGCACATTGTGATGTATGTTTTATACCAGGGGTGGACTGACAACTCATGGGGCCCCCGGGCAATAGGGGATCATGGGGCCCGTGTCCTCACACACACCCAAAAAAGCCTATGAAAAAGCCAATGAAAGGTACCAGGGGCATCTCATAGGGCCCCCTACTGACCCCGGGCCCTCGGGCAGTGCCCGAGTGCTCGAATGGTCAGTCCGCCCCTGTTTTATACTTCACACTACTCTACTCTGAATATTGAACTGTTTGTTAAATACTGCACAGCACACAGCGGACTAGAACTCATCTAGCCATCCAAACAGACCGAGAGCTTAATTGATGGGTGGAGGGGCCAAGAGTCATAGAGAAGAACGATACATTGGATTTCCTATATAATCATTTTGCACTTCACGTTAAGGCGGATAGCTTATCATTCTTAGAGGGTCTAGTCAATCAGCTTGGTTGAAAATGTTCAGCTAGTCATTATTTTTTCATAAATGTAGGGATTTGGGGATTGATATCCTGGATATAAAATGTAATGGGTTACTTATTCACTACATAAATTATATAACTGGTGCAAAAGTCTAAAGGATATAGACATCCATTTTCATTTTTTTTACTCCCTATGAAGCAAAATGTACAAATACAGAAATACTGTATGTATATGTAAAGACTAAAAACATCACTGGGTCATCCAATAAAATAATGCAACTCTCTAAATATTGCAAGTAAATATATAAATATTCCAAAAACATTTTAAAATCAACCCCACACATGTAGGCTGCGCATGTCAATGTAAACAGCTAATGTGCCATACATGTTAGGTATCACTGCAAACACAATTGTAAGACTGTACATGTGAGGTATCTGTTTACTCCATGCAAACCCATCTTTATACTTTACTAAAATACTGGGTATTATATTGTGTTTGTGTGCATTAGGTTTGTTGTGTGCAGGGGCGGACTGACAATTCATGGGGCCCCCGGGCAATAGGGGATCATGGGGCCCCTGTGTCCTTGCCCAAACTCCAAAAAGCCTATGAAAAAGGTACCAGGGGCATCTCATGGAGCCCCCTGACCCCAGGCCCTCAATAGGGGATCATGGGACCCCTGTGTCCTTGGCCAAGCTCAAAAAAGATTATGAAAAAGATACCAGGGGCATCTCATTGGGCCCCCTACTGGCCCTGGGCCCTCGGGCAGCGCCCGAGTTTGCAAATGGTCAGTCCGCCGCTGGTTGTGTTTTTTTTCCTAAAAATATAAATGTAATAATCAGCCAAATATTGTGTGACATAAAAAATTGCAACTGCCACCATTTTATTCTAGGGGCCTCTGATTTTAAAAATACACTATATTGCCAAAAGTATTGGGCCACCCCTCCAAATCATTGGATTCAGGTGTTCCAATCACCTCCATGGCCACGGGTGTATAAAATTGAGCCCCTAGGCATGCAGACTGCTTCTACAAACATTTGTGAAAGAATGGGTCACTCTCAGGAGCTCAGTGACTCCAAGCGTGGTCCCGTGATAGGTTGTCACCTGTGCAATAAGTCCATCCGTGACATTTCCTGGCTACTAAATATTCCACACTCAACTGTTAGTGGGATTATAACAAAGTGGAAGCAACTGGGAACAACAGCAGTTAGGCCACGTAAAATGACAGAGCGGGGTCAGCGCATGCTGAAGCACACAGCGCGTAGAAGTCACCAACTGTCTGCAGAGTCAATAGCTAAAGACCTCCAAACTTGGTGTGGCCTTCAGATTAGCACAACAACAGTGTGTAGAGAGCTTCATGGAATGGGTTTCCATGGCCGAGCAGCTGCATCCAAGCCTTACATCACCAAGTGCAATGCAAAGCCGTGGTATAAAGCACACCACCACTGGACTATAGAGTAGTGGAGACATGTTCTCTGGAGTGATGAACCACACTTCTCTGTCTAGCAATCCAATGGACGTGTCTGGGTTTGGCAGTTGCCAGGAGAAATGTACTTGCCTGGCTGCACTGTGCCAAGTGTAAAGTTTGGTGGATGGGGTATTTTTCAGAGGTTGGGCTTGGCCCCCTAGTCCCAGTGAAGGGAACTCTTAAGGCATCAGCATACCAAGACATTTTGGACAATTTCATGCTCCCAAGCAATGTCCATAAATACACGGATGAGTGAGTTTGGGGTGGAGGAACTTGACTGGCCTGCACAGAGTCCTGACCTCAACCTGCTAGAACACATTTGGGATGAGTTAGAGCGGAGACTGCGAGCCAGGCCTTCTCGTCCGACGTCAGTGCCTGACCTCACAAATGTGCTTCTGGAAGAATGGTCAAACCTTCCCATAGACAGTCTTCCCAGAAGAGTTGAAGCTGTTATAGCTGCAAAGGGCGGGGCCAACCCAATATTGAACCCTACGGACTAAGACTGGGATGCCATTAAAGTTCATGTGTGTGGAAAGGCTGGCGTCCCAATACTTTAGGCAATATAGCTTATATATAATTAATTTTGGTTTCAATTAATTTTCTAGCAAAAAATGCTCCCAGAACGTTTGTTGATGTCTCACGGAAAGGTCCCAATCTCCCCTTGCGATCGGGACCTTTTCCGATCATGTGACAGCAAATCACGGTGGTCACATGACCCTAAAACCCCGCCATCTGAAACCCCTTACAGGGCCGGGAGGCGCCGGCGTGAAGAGGTTAAAGAAAGCCAGCAAGTATAGACATCCACTCTTAGATTTGCTATTCCCATCCCCTCAAATCATTGTACAATTTTTTCCTTTGTTTTAATTTGATTCTACAGCATCCCAGTCTTCGGCGCTAGAATAGAATCTCTGCTTCCTTTCCCAATTTGCATACGTAATGTGAGATAATTAAGGCTGAACACATTGAAGGACAGTTGAAGCTTGTACAGACAGAAATTTTCTTTATTAGATATGCCTCTCTGCATTAATATCCTCTCGCTAAATGAGATGACTGCGCAGAGCATAGACTCACACCTGGCGTCGGCGTCTCTGCTCGAGGTGTGGGGAGACATACTTTCAGCTTCATGCTGTTTATACAGGCTGACTTGCCAAAACAAGGCACGTTTGTATTTTTTAAAGCCTTCACCTAAATTCAACCCCTTGCCCTCCAATGGATTTACCCCCCTTCCTAACCAGGACTTTTTTTTGCGTTACGGCGCCACGTTACTTTAACTGACAATTGCGCGGTCATGCAATGCTGCACCCAAATTAAATGTATGTTCCTTTTTTCCCTCGAATGGAGTGGTATTTGATTTTTAATTTTTTTGCAATATAAACAAAAAAAAAGATCAACGATTTTGAAAAAAAAAAAAAATGATGTTTTTGACTTTTTGCTATAAAACATATCCAGTAAATGTAAAAAAAAATCAAATTTCTTCATAAATGTATTCTGCTACATGTCTTTGCTAAAAAAAAATCCCAATATGTGTCAATTAATTGGTTTACATGAAAGTTATAGAGTCTACAAATGGTGGTATAGATACTGGAATTTTTTTTTCTTGTTTATGCTAGTAATGGCGGCAAACAGCAACTTACAGCGGGGCTGTGGCAGGCATTCTGATACTGGGGGGGGGACTGAATAACTGCCACTGACGTCCCGACTGACACTAATAAAGTGATCAGTGCTAATAAAAAGCTCTGACGCTATACTAATGACACTGGGCAGGAAAGGGTTAACATCTGGGGTGATCAAAGGGTTAACTGTGTGCTGTATGTGTTTTACTATATTGTCTGTGTGTGGTTCACTGTGTTGCATGCTGCTTTGACTGGCCTGCACAGAGTTTATACAGGCTGACTTACCAAAACAAGGCACGTTTGTATTTTTTAAAGGCTTCACCTAAATCCAACCCCTTGCCCTCCAGATGGATTTACCCCCCTTTCTGACCAGGACTTTTTTTTGCGTTACGGCGCCACGTTACTTTAACTGACAATTGCGCGGTCATGCAATGCTGCACCCAAATTAAATGTATGTTCCTTTTTTCCCTCGAATGGAGTGGTATTTGATTTTTAATTTTTTTGCAATATAAACAAAAAAAAAAGATCAACGATTTTGAAAAAAAAAAAAAAAATGATGTTTTTGACTTTTTGCTATAAAACATATCCAGTAAATGTAAAAAATCTAATTTCTTCATAAATCTATTCTGCTCCATGTCTTTGCTAAAAAAAATCCCAATACGTGTCAATTAATTGGTTTCCATGAAAGTTATAGAGTCTACAAATGGTGGTATAGATACTGGAATTGTTTTTCTTGTTTATACTAGTAATGGCAGCTAACAGCAACTTACAGCGGGGCTGCGGCAGGCATTCTGATACTGGGGGGGGGGGACGACTGAATAACTGCCACTGACGTCCCGACTGACACTAATAAAGTGACCAGTGCTAATAAAAAGCTCTGACGCTGTACTACACTGGGCAGGAAGGGGTGCACAGTGGCTTAGTGGTTAGCACGTCTGCCTTGCAGTAAATGGGTCATGGGTTTGATTCCCGACCATGGGCCTCCTGCGTGGAGTTTGCATGTTCTCCCTGTGCTTGCGTGGGTTTCCTCCGGATACTCCGGTTTCCTCCCACACTCCAAAGACATGCTGGAAGGTTAATTGGATCCTGTCTAAATTGGCCTAATATGTGTATGTATAAATGTGAGTTAGGGACCTTAGATTGTACACCCCTTGAGGGTTAGGGACTGATGTAAATGTTCAATATATATGTGTAAAGCGCTGCGTAAATTGACAGCGCTGTATAAGTACCTGAAATAAATAAAAAATAAATAAACATCTGGGGCAGGGGCGGACCCCATTTGGAAACTCGGGCACTGCCTGAGGGCCCGGGGTCAGTAGGGTGCCCCATTTTTGCCCCTGATACCTTTTCATAGGTTTTTGTGAGTTTGGGCAAGGACACAGGGGTCCCATGATCCCCTATTGCCTGGGGGCCCCATGAGTTGTCAGTCCGCCCCTGATCTGGGGTGATCAAAGGGTTAACTGTGTGCTGTGTGTGTTTTACTGTATTGTCTGTGTGTGGTTCACTGTGTAGCATGCTGTTTTGTATTGCTCTGCTATGCACAGGTAGGGCGGTGCGCACGCGCCCCCTACCCAGAATTACAAAATCACGTATATATCAGTCCTGCTGCCCTGTAGCAGTACTTTATTCTGAACCGGGCTCAGGCCATCAATATGCAGCAGTGGTGGTGCACTCTGGACAGCAATGTGCACTCTCTGGGTTCCCTTGTGGCCAGAGGGAACTCTGTGGTGTACAACTACAGTAAATGCAGCTCTTTTCCCTCCTCCTGACCTCTGGGAAATGCAGCTCAAAATATATTATGCAGTAGAGTCCCTCTCTTCACTGGACTACAGTTCCCACAGTGCAGTGCTGCCTGACTCAACTTATTGAACTTTTCCTGCTCAGCAGCTCCCTCCTTTTGCTGATATAGCTGTTCTCCAGTTCAGCACCACAGGACAGCAACTACAGAGAGCAGCTGCAGCCAGTGTTTCTCCTTCTCTCTATTCTTAGCCAAACACCTGGCTATGCTACTGTAGTGTAAACTCTGTTACATTCCTGTGTGGGAGTGGCAGCGAATAATTCAGACATTTTTAGAGATCAAAATCACGTTTCCTTTAAGGTTACATTCACACTGGGCCGAGCGTTTTTTAGGTGTTTTTTCAAGTGTTTTTGAGCTTTTTTTTTTTTAGCAGATTTGCCAATATTATAGGCATTTTTTAGTGGATTTTTTTTTTAGTAGATATACAAATATTATAGAACTTTTTCAGGTGTTTATTTAGGTGTTTTTGCTGTGGCCAAAAGAAATTGAAATAGCTGTTGTTTGAGGTGAAAAAAAAAAACACGCTTGAAAAAATGCCCATTCCCACTGTTCAGGCGTTTTCCATTCAAGTCTATGGAGACAAAATGCACAGATATGCCTAAAAAGTAGAGCAAGTACTTTTTTTTGAGTGACAGGTGTTTTGCTGCAGGTGACAGAATGCTCAAGTGTGAACAGAGGTCATTGGAAAGAATGGGATTTTACTTTTTGAGCATTTCTGGGTGTCGAACTTCGAACTGAAAAATGATCAAGTGCCAACGGGGTCTAAAACACATGGTGGCAGCTACGGTTCGTGTGTAAAGGGTTGCCTGCTAATTTTACGTGCCCCAGTGGGGAGCAATCCCAGTCTTCTGGTACTTGGAGTGTTGTATAAAACCCCCCCCACAGCCAAAGCCTAGTCCAAGGAATGGTATGTCTGCCAGTGCCCAACCCTACATATTTTTTCGGGGAGATGTATCCAAAAAACAATGCACACAAGTGGGATGGGGGTGCGACCGGGGGTGCTGGGTTCAGGGCTGTGGATAATGAGGTACCACCAGTCCTCCTGTACAGGGCCCAGGCCAGTAGGGGGCCCAGCCAGCTGAGTGAATCAGATGTGGGCAGGAAGGGTGATCGGCATGGTGGGGGGTAATTACTAGAACCAATCCCCTGTATGGCTCTCTGCAGCAACTGAAGGCTGACTTCTCTGAAAGCTGACTTCTCCTCTCCCTCTTGCTGGCTTTCAGCTGCTGCAGGGGGGGCCATACAGGGGACCAGTTCCAGTAATTGCCCCCCTGTGCACCTATCATCTTCCCTGTGCAGCATACATTTCCCCCTGCTGCCCAGGCACCCCGGCATGCCCCCACCCTACAGTGCTGCCAGCTTTCCTCCTCTCCTTCCCCACCGGCAGCTGCAAGAGCACAGTAGAATCCTTCAGGATGGAGGGTGGGGGAAGGGCCAGTAAATGTCACATTTACCAGCCCTTTTTTTTTTACGAATGAACACAATGAGTGATCGGTACCAATCTCTCACTGTGGTCATTGTTAACTGAAGCATAGTAAACTATGGGTTTGTTTAGTGGGGGGGTGTCAGGTTGGCTTTATGGGGCCCCATGGTTTCTAACAGCAGCCCTGGCTGGGTGTGTGGGGGATGCGGGGTGCTGCCGGCTTTCCTCCTCTCCTTCCCACCGGCAGCTGCAAGAGCACAGTAGGATCCTTCAGGATGGGGGGTG